AAATGGCTGCCTGCCCTTTTCAGCTGAAGAGAGGACACATTTTCACATGAACTTCACCCAGCACCTCTAGGAGCACCTCCTCATTGCAGGTCCTGCCCTATGAATTGTCTTGAATTGCTTTCTGCACATCAGAACCACCTTTCAATATCTAGAACTCACATTTGCACTTCCAAAAAAAAGTTTTTATACACTTTAAGCTGAGAACTTTCAAAAGACTTTTTGAGGTTTAGACATTTACCATAATGAAAGATATATCTACGTATTTGATCATTTTGGAAATTTGTGTTTTCAAATCTCACTAAAGTCTTGTCTAAATTTCCTCTTTCCCCTGTCTTAAAAGTACTAGTACTTGGTTTACATTTTAAGTGACTGTGCTCATCATCCTTATGTTTCAAGAAGTTCCAAAGATGTGCCACAGTAATTTTATTAGGGACACTATAGAACACAAAGCTGAGCAGTTCTCCCTGTGATGACACCGAGCAGACTTCTATCCACCCAAGCTAGCACTGAGGAGGGGAAAAAAAGCTGTTCGACTGGACAGTTTAGAAACTACTCTATACTGAGATAAATGTTTACAGTGAAAGAAAAGCAATTTGATCTCTGAATCAGAGAATCCAGCACATACTGCACATACTTCACCAGGGTAAATCCAGAGCTTTTTATTCAAATCAAACCCATTTCACTAACGAAACCCTTCATGTCTGCATAGTTAATCATTGTCTTGCTTTAACATTGAAACACTTCCGTGTTGAAAGCCTCTCCGGGTTTTCTGAATAAAACCAAATAATCCATATTTACACATTTGTAATCTGTCCACAATCCAACAGCATTGCAATTCTTAAAACTTGCTATTTAGTCATTATAAGTGAATAGTCAACCCCAGTGGAGGCTCTCCTTATAAAGCTGTATTTTTGGAGCTTACTTGCAGAGCAGCCACTCATATTCAAAGATGCCATTTCTCTAAACAGTTCATTTGGTGCTAAATGGGAAATAGCAGAAGTCCACCCCACTTTTATCAAATACTTCAGTCACAGCAGAAACGTTTCCTACTAGTGGATTAAGTTCCAGTTACCTCCAATGGCCTGTTTCAGACAGAAAGTCCTAAACTTTTGATGCAACATAAGAATTGAAACAAACTTTGTTCTTCGTGCCTAAACCCTATGAATACTGCAGCCAAAAGGAATCATCGCAGCTTTCACCTCTCATGCCTTCTACACTATATCAAAGCATGTTTTGGTACATAATCCCAGTCCACATGCTAAAAAAATGTGTATACTCCTACAGCTAGACTTGCAAATTTAAGAGTAACTGTTTAGGTAGTAAAGGGGATATTTCTTACAATTCAAAGCAACTTGGGAATATAAAAGCAAAATATTGCAGAAAAATTAGAAAGAAAAAATCTTAAAATGTCCCTCTATATATATAAATGATGTGTGATGCCACTTTGAATGGGGACAAATGAGACATTTTTATTAGGATTTTGACTGAGCATGCACAAATACATTCTAGTGTAGCAGAATTAAATGTGTTTATGAGCTGTAATTAAAAGTGTGAATGACATAGCTTTTCACAAATATGACCAGACCTACCAGGACAAAATACACAGGGATCTTGCTCCCAGCTAGTCTCAAAAAAGTATCTGATTATCAAAGAATTTCTTTCTGGCCTACATAGAGAGACATTGCAATTCCAGAATATTAGGCTGCCCACAGAATCCATCCATACTGGTAAAACACGCGTGTTTCTGAATGATAGTACTACTTATGTAAGCAATTTAAGTACAGCCATTGCCTACAAGTATATACTGTACTATTATTTAGATTTATTCTGACAGCTATCAGAACTGTGGCTACTGTTAATCTGCCTTCCTAAGCGCAGTCACAACCTCAATTAATTTGTGAATTACTGCAAGTTCTGGTATAGGAAGATTGAGGGGTTTATTTATTTATTTATTTTTACCTTGTGTAAGCTTGCTGTGTAGGGTGAGCTGACACAGCATACATTCCTATAATTAAGGCAAATGCATGAGTGCTGAAAAACTTCTACAAATATTGCGTATGAATAAATCATAGGTTTAAAGCCAGAAGGAACCATTAAATGATTTCCTGTTAGTTTGCGTCATTATATTTCATTAAGTTCTAAAGTGTCAGACCCAGTAATTTATTAAAACAACCTACTTTCTCCAGAGGTGCAATCATTTTTTGATTTTAAGATAGAGATGGAGAATTTGTTACCTCCACAAATAGTTTGTTACAATGAGGGGAAAAAGTGCAATCTTCCTGTTAAAAATGTGTGCTTTTTTTTTATTAACTTCAGGTTCAGCGTACTTGTTCTTGCTCAGCCTTTCTCTGCTGGGATAGAGGCGCCTTTGGTAGTTTTTAATCTTCAAGATACATGTCTATTAATCAGTCGTCTTAATGTAATACAATATGAGCTCTTGCACCACCTTTTCTCTTCTGCTGAATCATCTGTGGTTCTGTGCCTTACCCAGTATTTCAACATCCTTTCTGAAATGTATGCTTTTTTTTTTCCTTACCTAAATAAGGCTACAAAACAATGAAGTTTTCCCCTACTGCTCATTTTTTCTTCTATTTATGAAAGAAACATTTTAGTATCTTGGCTCACAATAGGAACATTTGTCCAGTTCTAACCTTTAATCCTCTGTAGGATAGTCTCCATATTCCTAGAATCAGCCATTTTGGAGATCTTTCAAATTTTGTGCTCCTACTTACATAACTGGGCATTTAGTTATATTGAAATGATACAAGTCACACAGTACTAACTTAAATTAGCAAAAGCTAATCAGTCTTCAGAGTAAATGCCATTTTTTGTTGCCTACCCAAAAATTGTTGAAAACTGACGAATACAGGTCTTGGAACCTTTCCCAAGAAACTCTTTTAGAAATGCCAATTACTGACATCTCAAAGGGTAGGTGTCAGTGGTAGAAAGCATTTGGCTTTTTAAATGAGTTCTTGGCTTGAAGGTCCACATTTGTTTTGGCAACGTAAAGCAATATTTCATATGATCACATGATGTCACACAGAAAGAGCATGTACAATACTTTGCACTTCTTGCCCTTGGACAAATATTCAAGCTTCCAAATAAAATGGATTTATAGATCAGCACTAGCTTAATTTCCTACCCCCACCCCTCAAATAGGAAGGGTTAGTGACAAATTAAGAACAAAGTTCAAGCTACAGTTTGATTTTGACACACCAGCAGATATTAGGAATTTTATTCTGTTCAGTCTTGCAAGTAATAAGGAATACTGGTAAGGAAGACAGGAAATTAAACATTTACATCCTTCTTCCCCCAATATTTCCTCCCAGTCTTACAAACCCAAATGTCAAAGTCTACAATCTTTATCCAGTCACGCTTTATGGCTTTCAAGTGAGGAAAATTCTTTAGCTTGGAAGAGTTTATTTTAAACAGAAACATTTATTTCTATAGGTTCAAGAGATCTTTTTGCTAGCTTCTCATTAGCTGAATTTAAGTACATGGATCCTGCTGAATAAATGGCTAATACTTCATTACATAGCAATTTCCAGAAGCAACCTTCCAGGACCTGTGATATCTTTGATATGTTATTTTCAAACCAGTAGCATGTTATTACACATACAACTCACTTTAATTAGCTAGACTTATCTGAGAAAATACTAGTCAATTAAGAAAGAGTGAGACTAAATTATGGATAGCATTATTTAATAATCTTCCTCAACTGGAACTTAAGTGTTCATGAATCGGTTTCTGAACAGTCCAGCATTTTCAGCTAAACTAACCAGTGCAACATACTTTAAAACAGCCTCTTGTAAGTTGTAGTAGTAATTGAGCATCTAGGTACAGACTATCAGCCACTCGCCACTGAAGTCTGTTTTGATGAATTTGACCTCAAGAACTCAGCCTACAAGGTGGACAAGATTTGCCGATGCTGCAGTAAAAGCATGAATACCCACAATTATAAACTAGGCTGAAACCATGTTGTAAACCTTTTCATGATTTCATCTGTTTTTTAGAATTGCAATGTCCTGATGTCTGGTATGAAGATAATCATCATATAGCTAGAGTTACTTATCATGTAGCAACTAGGCACCTGCTCTTCCACTCCAGTCTCAGTTACAGTTCAGTAGAAACAACTGCTGTAGCAAAAGTTGACCATGATTTGTTGGTACATAACCATGATATTGTTTAAAGCTACAAAGATAGATAATATGGTGGTTAAGATGGATACTAGATGCCTTTTATTATGGTCTTCTGTGTGTTAAGATAAACTGGGAAGAAGGGGCCAAGAGATAACACTCGATAGTGTAGTATTTCCCTCCCGCACAAACATTCAAAACAGGTGCAGATGTTGCTGGTTCTTGCAGATGGGTTCTACAACAGCTTGCCTTTTTCCACCGTATTAAATCAGTCAGGTTCATCCCTATTAGGTTAGAACCAAGCAAAGGGAAGCCATTTTAAAACAGTTATACTGTCAAGGGGAGAGTCAGATGTAATACACTTTAGTATGTACTTTCTATATATAGTCTTTTTCAAAGACAATTTCCAGTTACATCCTGAAGTGCCTAAGCACCAAAACAGTGATCATTTAAACCATTTTAAAAGCTGCTTCTCACATAGGAAAAGGTCAGTCAAGCAATACAGATACTGAACTAGATCCTTCCATGATTATTAATTTCATAACCATATATGTGGTTTATAATATGGTCCAAATAAAGGTGGAGGCCAGTATACACTGACCCCTACCACAGATATGAAGGTAAGATGAAGTCATGAGCATATTCCTGATCTATCAGTCATCATGTACCTTCTATGTCAGTCTTATCAGGTGCCATCTCTCAGCTAAAACAGCAATATAATCTGGCATGTTTGGAATGGCTCACATATAATATTATGACATTAACTGCAGATTTCCTCAAGCCTTCTGTCACTGGATACCAGGAAACAGACAGGCAGGAGCTGCTCTCGCATATGACTATTCCAGCCTAGCAATGCCCCATTCCTAAAACTAGGATGCCAGTTAATACCTCAGCTTCAGCAGACCCGTAGCTCATTCTCTAAGGCATAGATTTTTGCTTTTAAGTTTTTTAGTTCTCCTTGAATTTTATGGGTTAGTCTGTTTCCTTGGCGGACCTCATGTAGAATTGCAAGATCCTGGTCTGGTCCAATATTCAGAGTCACCTAAAAAGGAAAAGAAAAACAGATTAAGAAAAACAAAGCTGTACAGAATACAGTTTAGACAGTATCATGATGAAGATGAGGGAGAGAACTCTAAAGGAGACCCTTTGTAGCTAGCAAAGAGGATGCTTAAGCTAATATCACGAAGGTAATGCATATCACCAATAGAAAAGTGCTCCAGAACCAAAAATAAAGAACAAAGCTTTCATACATTATGGTGTCATTACTGGCAAGGAAGAAATCTGGATAGAACATAATCAAGTTTACCCATATCCTGTTGATTCCTTTCTAATTCCTGTATTATTTAGAGATCCACAAAAAGAGGCAAGTTAAAATATTTATCAACTAACTTTTATCTAGTTCTAAGTACCTTACCTGATATGATGACATTTTGTCATCTTTTGCTACTAGAAGTAGAGGTGGTTTAAATGCTGTGGCCAACCTGCTGCCTTCTGAACTGCATATGATTCAAGAGCAGTTCAAGTACAACACCTAGTCTCAGGCCTTGGCATATGGCCCATACTGAGCTGAACAAAGGCTGCTGGAGAATCAGAATTCCTGATGGCAAGCTAGCCAGGGTTGCCCTTTCCTGTCACCCTGGAACTGGATAGCATGCCAGCCCAGTCACTTTCAACAGCAGAGCAGCACAGCCTTGGAAGCTGCTCTCAAAGCCCTCTTTTCTCTTGACCCTTTAGGGTGTCTCATTGTGATCATGTAGTTCTTGGTCAAAGATTTTAGTATGCAAATCAGGAAATTTAGTCATCTGTAGTCATTTTGACCTCAAGTGATGAGAAGGATTTAAAGATCACGCTGGAGACTTCTAGCAAGTGTTTTGTTCCTCTGCCCTCTCGTGGTTAAAAGTATAAAGAAATTAAGAATACAATTAAGAGCACACCAACAGTTACAAAACATAAAAGTCTGTAGTAAAAGTATCATAGGCAGTTTTTCCACCATTCACATATGCTGTCTAGTCCTTAAAGAATAAACTTCAAAAACACACAGCTCAAAAAATTAAAAACCAAACCAGAACAAGTAACCCCAAAGCCTTTAGTGAAGACAAATGTGTTAGTCCAAGTAAACTGAACTGTACACCGAAAGTACAGAAAACAAGTGAATTGGTGGCACTGCCAGACTCCTGAAAGAGAGTCAGCTAGACAAAAGCTATGCCCAGATCATACTCTCAAGCATATCTTAGATAAATATGTCATCCTAAACTCCAAGCAACATCACGTCTTTGGCTTCCCTTCCAAGCTGTTCATCTACATGTCTGGAAGCTACTACAGAGTAAACAGCTTCAAATTCCAGCCATTGTTTCTGCAGTGATTTTTTGCAGAGTTACAAGTGAGATACTAACCAAGGAATAAATAGAAAATTCACAATACTTAAGTCAATGATCTACCTCTTACTAGAACAAAACCAAAGACTATGGCCCCAGAAAGAAAACCAATCCTCATTTTCTTTGCAGGGTATCCCTCTGAAACAAGCTACTTTACTGCCTTGCAATTTTGAGACAGCTAAGTGAGCTACAGGTATCAGATAAGAACTTTGAGTTGCAACAAAAATACACAGCTAATTTATAACAGGACACTTCCTGGCAAGCTTGATGCCTGATTAACAAAGACAAATCTTTTCAGCTTCATACAATACAGAAGAGGGCAAGTTTTGTCCAATATTAATATCTAAAGGAGCACTTAGGAAAGAAATTATTCCCTTAACTCTAGGGAAACAATTGCATTTAAATACTGAGAATACATCTCTATAGGGTAAGCCCATAATAGTCTGCCTCAGAAATGCTTAGCTATTACCTTAAAAAGCTGATTCTCTACATCTTTCACCTTCTGCCGAAGCTGTTTAATGTCATTCTTGAAGCCTTCCACTTCCATATTACGACGTTTTTGCAAGGCCTCATATCGCCGAGTCACCAGGTTCAGGCGCTTCCCCATCTTTTCTGAGCGTTCCTATGGAGATGAAAACTCAATAGGGTATACAAAATAAAGGCTGCAAGATCATCACATAGCTAGCAGATGATTACGGGCTAATTACCTTAAAGAGTTCTCTGCCAGCATCTCCCTCCTCACGAATCCTAGCCAGCTCACCTTCCAGGGTGACACACTGCTCTCTATACATGTTTGATAGGCGCTGTTCCTGCATTAGCTGCTCTTGCAGTGACTAAGACATAGGAGGAACAGAAAGAATAAACACAAAAGCCAGTGCACACAGAATTTCCCCTGCTCTGCAAAAGCAAGTGTGATAGATTGACAATGTGACAGGTAAGCAAAAATTAACAGTTGGAGCTACAACTAATTAAATAACTAGGTAAGGGCAATATTCTAACACTACTTCCATTACCAAAATCTTATAATTAGGTTATCAGTTCTGCAAGACTGCTCACCATCAGTTAAAAGAACTCTCTCCCCCTTAAAAATAATGCTGAACTAATGCTGTAATTCCCCTTCTCACAGCTGCTTGCCCAGTACTGCATTTCAGAAGCATCTGCATTCAGCAGTTTGATGGAAACAATTCCCTACTGCCTGTTTATTTTCCAATTCCTTATTGCTTGTTCACCCACTTCAGACCTCCCAGCTTCTCACTGGAAGTATACTAGAAGTGGAAGCAAAATTCTGACCACTGTAGAAGAGCTGGGGGACATCAATCGAAAGGACTTACTCTCCCCCAGCAGCAGCAAGTAAGATACAGACACCGCATTCTAAGTCCATTAGCTGAGAGTATTTACACTAAAAGAAAGGCACGTGCAACAAGCAGGTTAAGAACTGTAGGCCCATCTATCACATGGCTTGCAGAAGTAGGGATTTGTTCTGGGCATAAAAGAAAGTGACAGTGAAGCACTACCATAAATCCTAACTATACATTTTATCTGAAATTTGCAAGCAATGCCAATTTTGAGGCAGGAGAGGTTTCTACATTAGCGCCAACAACAACATAACTTATGGCAAGCCAGTACAGCTTTGAAACAGCTGCTAGCTATTCCCTATCTTGGCAAAACCCAAATGCTTACAATTTTCTAGTAAAAAAAAATCATTAAAGAGCATCTACCTAGGACAAAAAAAAAAAATCACCTTTATTTCTCTGCTGTGGAGTTTCCAAGCTCCATCATCTGCTCGAAGCAACTTCTTCGTAACTCTCTGCTGCTTCTCTCTTCCTGGGTCCCTGCTGATAACAAGCTGATCCAGATCTTTGTCAAGTTTCCTCAACAGACTGTCCTTCTCTGCCATCCATGCTTTCTCATTGGCTCGGGCATCAAACTTGAGCTGAAGAACATCACGAGTACTCTCATATAAGAGATTTTGGGTCTTATGGAGTCTGTAAAAAGGGATCCCAGTGGAATTAATTAACTTCTTTCCTAGTTCCTACCTTAATTTTCTCAGTCATCATTGCAAATTTGAAGAAGCATGGAAGAAAAAGATAGGTGCTTTCCTAACAAGTTTAAGCTCTTCACATCTAATCAAAGTAGTGATATTCTTCCAATGTGAAATAGGATTTTTGATACGTAGATTACTCCATTCATCTTCTTCCACACACACTACCAAACAGATGGCTGTATAATTTGCTTTTCTGCTTCCTGCAGGAAGAAATATACTGAAAGCCAAAATATTTCTATTGTTCCCCTTTCTTCTCATGACTACATCTTGGTCATTCTCTCACACTCACTTATCTGTTATAGTTTTGATCTTGTCCTGGTCCCTCTGATGCTGGACCTGAGCTTCCTCCATGTGAATCCGCCTGTCCTCTAGTAGTGCCTCAACCTGTTCCTTGGATAATCGTGTCTGTTCTTCTATCTGAGCTTGCAGGGCCTCCACCTGAATAAGCAAAGACATTACTGAATAAGACCTCACAGCAGTTCTGCTCCTGTCCTTGCAAGTCTCTTAAACTCCAAGACTCAGATCAAAAATTCTACCCAATAATACCTTCAAGAGTTCCAGTTTCTCAAATTTTTATTTTTGCTTTAATGCTAAGTATTTGAAACAACTAAAACATTTTAAGAAAAAAATCATGCTATAGGCAAGACATGCATGTTATAAGCAGCAACAATAGATTGAATATATTAGAAAGATTTTAATTGCACACAGGATGTGACAAATCCTGTGGAACATGCAGAGACACATCTGTCCCTATGTTACCATCTTCCAATGAAATGGTGATATAAAAATACCTAAATTCTAGGAAGGCAGTGAGTCCACATATCTTGAACAAAAGAAATCACTCAACCAGAATGAATTACTAAATGTAAACAAGATAATGAATAAAGGAGAGGGATGCAAAGAATCTTGATTTAGGGCACATAGTAAGGGAGGCAAATTGGAACAAGCAGTTGACAAACGTGCATCTGGCCTATGTGTAAGAAACGATCTGAAAAAACCTGGCGTGTATTTAGATCGCTTATTTTTCTGACAATTTTGTATGATATTTTTGCTCCAGAATAAATGTTTTTTTCAGCTAAACAGACACTAGGTGAGTCACCATTGTCTTTGAAAAAAAAAAAATCTATCTGCTGTACAAGTTTACTCTTTAATTTGCCTTTCTTGACTCATCCTTCCTCATGTTTTACATACAGCTTCCAGTATCTTCCCCATTTCATGATTCTGTACATTTTATCTTTCATTCTGTCAAGCTATCTACACCCTCTCTTTCACTGAGGTCTAGCAAAGAGAACATTTCATTGTACTAGTGCATCTTATCAGAGCTGCCTAATTCCATCTCAGACACATTGCTTTTGTCAGACTTCCACAAAATACCCAACCCTGCAGATCTTCCGTGGGTTTAATGTATATTCATAGCCACAATCAAATTATGGGAGATAAATATAGAATGTGTAATTGATGTTAATGGCAACACATTCCAGTTGACGTTACTGAAACATCTGCTTATGTAAAGCTTCCAGAATCAGACCCAAGTTCTTAAATCTAAGCCTACCTTCATTGCAAAGAAACAGCTAAGTAAACTGATGGAAAGTGGGAATCCATAGTAAGATGTAGGGACTGATAAAATTGGTATGTCTACATCTTATCTAAGCAGATGGCATATTTGTCTATCGTAATTTCCTGGACAGACAGGAATTATGTCCATCAGTTAGCAAATATTTTTACCTGAAGTAGAAGTGTTTGATTATCTCTCTGATATCTCTCAGGACTTCCTGTTTTTTCTCCTTCTGCTGCAGGTTTCGAAGTGCTCCTCTTGGTGCCTATTGCAGAAATTTAACAGAAGTTGAAAGTTTTCCAATTTACCTGCAGTACCTTTCCAAATGTGAAACACTGTATGTTCCGACAGGCCTACAAGAACAGGAAAAAGCTTGCCACTGCTACAGTCACAAGGACTTCTGGAGAGCTAGCTGGAATAAAAGAGTTTCAGAACTTATGGTGATCGCATACCTTTATCCCACACTATCACACCACAATATTTAGGCAACTTACTAATTTTCTTGGCATATATAGACAGCAAACTTCATTTTCTTAAATAAATGATGAATAGGCAGATGACACAGCTGCATAAGTCTTGATGAGTTTTGAGCTTGTTAGCTAATCTCAGTCAATTTCAAAGAGACAGTCCTTTCAAAAGAGAAAATCAGTAAGGAGGCATACAGACCCACACTACTGTCTACACTAAAGGCAGGCAGAAGCTCACACCTTGGAATGGCTGTGGCTAAAGTTGCCTGTCCAGTTGGCACCTGCATAGTTCCAGAACAGCCATTCCATGGTCATACCAGCCTTTTCCTTAGCTGAGCAGATCACATACATGAGAGCCAGGTCAGGTTACTTTAAAAGATTTTGAAGGGAAGCCAACAGTACTGCATTTATATGTATGTACACACAGAAACATTTAGGGTGACTCCCATCTAGAAGAAGGGCCAGAAGGAGGATCCAGGGAAATACAGGCCTGTCAGTCTGACCTTGGTGCCAGGGAAAGTTATGGAGCAGATCATCTTGAGTGCCATCACACGGCACGTACAGGATAACCAGGTGATCAGGCCTAGTCAGCATAGGTTTACAAAAGGCAGGTCATGCTTAACCTGATCTCCTTCTATGACAAGGTAACCTGCTTAGTGGATGAAGGAAAGGCTGCGGATGTTTGACATGTTGAAGCCTTTGACAGTCTCCCACAGCATTCTCCTGGAGACACTGACTGCTTATGGCTTGGACAGGCATGCTCTTTGCTGGGTAAAAAGCTGGCTGGATGGCTGGGCCCAAAGAGGGGTGGTGGTGAATGGAGTTAAATCCAGTTGGTGGTTGGTCACAAGTGGTGTTCCCCATGGCTCAGTGTTGGGGCCAGTTCTGTTTAACATCTTTATCAGTTATCTGGATGAGGGGATCGAGTGCACCCTCAGTAAGTTTGCAGACGAAATCAAGTTGGGCAGGAATGTTGATCGGCTTGAGGACAGGAAGCAGAGGGATCTGGACAGGCTGGGTCGATGGGCCGAGACCAGCTGTATGAGGTTCAACAAGACCAAGTGCCGGGTCCTGCAGTTGGGTCGCAACAACTCCATGCAACACTACAGGCTTGGGGAAGAGTGGTTGGAAAGCTGCCTGGCAGAAGAGGACCTGGTAGACAGCTGGCTGAACATGAGCCAGTGTGTCCAGGTGGCCAAGAAAGCCAACAGCATCCTGGTCTGTATCAGGAATAGTGTGGCCAGCAGGACTAGGGAAGTGATAGTCCTCCTGTACTCGGCACTGGTGAGGCCGCACCTTGAGTACTGTGCCTCTCACTACAAGAAAGACATTGAGGTGCTGGAGCATGTCCAAAGGAGGGTAATGAAGCTGGTCAAGGGTTCAGAGCACAAGTCTGATGGGGAGCAGCTGAGGGAGTTGGGGTTTTTTAGTCTGGAGAAGAGGAGGCTGAGGGAAGACCTGATCACTCCCTACAACTACCTGGAAGGAGGTTGTAGCGAGGTGGGGGTCGGTCTCTTTTCCCAAGTAACAAGCAATAGGACAAGAGCAAATGGCCTCAAGTTGCACCAGGGGAGGTTTAGATTGGATCTTAGGAAGAATTTCTTCACCGAAAGCATTGTCAAGCATTGGAACAGGCTGCCCAGGGAGGTGGTGGCGTCACCATCCTTGGAGGCATTTAAAAGATGTGTAGATGTGGTGCTTAGGGACGTGGTTTAGTGGTGGTCTTGGCTACGCTAGGTTTATAGGTGGACTTGATCTTAAAGGTCCTTTCCAACCTAAACAATTCTATGATTCTGGGGAATTTAATGGAGGTATACCAAAGTATTCACAGTAAGGAATTATTTTGGTATATCAGACACAAACACACAGAGAAACAAGTATCAACAGCTGAGCTGCTGTTAATCAGCTTGGTGTGGTACCTGTTCTAGAAGTATCATTTTGTTCACGTGCCTCTCTGGACTTAGCTGGCCTCTGCAGAACAGTAACCTATAGAAACAAGATTAAATATCTGCGCTGAATATCTGACTTCTCCAAAGTTGTAATGGTCAAGAACAAATCTTAGAGAGTAAAATGATATATCCAAAAGAACAGCATTACCTTACTTCTACCACAAGACAAGGAAGACATTCATAAGTGTAATGTCAGTGTTGCAAAGTTTCCTTTATCATGGCTAAGTTTTGCCATTTCTGCCTCTTTTTCACCACACCAACCGGAAAGAAATCCTGCCTTTGCTGGCTTCATTAGGATGAAAATCACCACCCTCAGC